TAAAAATAACATCAGTCACATAAAAATAAAGCTCTTCTCCCACTCATTTTTTTAAATGGAATAAAGTATTTTTAATATTATAACAAAACTGCATGTGAAAGATGTCACTTGGTTAAGTAAAACACATTGCTTTAGTAATGTCAAAAAAAGAAGTGTTAGTATGAACATCTGTTTTTTCTATAATAGTTGCAAACAACAGTAAGGCAAAATAAAGATGTGTTAGCAAGAATTGGGTAAAAATATCACTTGCTCAAAAATTAAACAGTTCTGTTGAAAGGAGAATTGCTTCTTGTTAAACTAAACTAAACTAAAACCCAATTAATTTACCTTTAGAATTAAAAACCCCAGCAGTGAGTCTACATTTTTCCTTATTTACATACGCATATACATAACTGGACACTGGCAAATTATACAATTATACTTTTAAGTTAGTGGCATCAGAAAAACAGTAAACATTGCATGCAATCATGTCTTGTATTTAATCATGGCTTGTATTTCCACAAAACTCATGGATAACACGACATTGAACACAACATTGAAAAAAACACTGTATTTTGCTACATTAGACACTACAGTAATTTCCTGCCCCCTGCTGTAGAAAGCATGGATTCAGTCTGAAGCATATAGTCACCTGCGATGATATTAAACATCCTTGGGTTCAGGATAGCAGGACAAATCAGTCGAAGAAAAACAAAGCCACTGAAATGGAAAGAAAATTGTGTTTTATTCAGTAACATTAGGGAATTAATGTCAAATTGTGTAGTCTTTAAGGACGCAAGGTAGTGTGCAATCTCATTGAGACAAACACCAACCAACCAGCCTGTGCTCTGTGACAATATTAACAAATTAAAATCATAATGCTATGATTCTGTGAATTGTGATGAAAGCTGAAAGAACAGGCACACTGATTTCCCAGTTAAGGTGAACTGTTAAAATCATGTGGGACGAACTTAATTGCAAAGTGATAATTAAGCCAATCCCAGATCATACTTGCTTCAAAAAGGAGGAGCCCTTGGTCTCTGACCTCCTGAAAGTTTTCCATTGCCTGCTACTGCAAGTCATTTTACAGCCACCCACTCCCCCAAGCTATTGTAAGGAGTTGCCCAGGAGTGGGTAGGCAAAGAGAACCTCTGTTTTTGGCAGAACACAGCCTCAGGTCAGCTTAAGCTGATCCATATCCTGATGACAGTATGCTCCAGTAGAAAAAAAATGAGGGATCTGCTACTTCCCTCCATGAAATAATTGCTGCCATCTAGAAAGCTGAACAAAGAGTGCTGCATTATAGACAACCTGGTACCTCTTACCCTGGTCAACCTGCCTAAACTAAGAATGAGCAAATACCTCCATGGGGTTTGATGACCAGAGAGAAATGGCAGCACCTTCTGACTGATACAGTGGGGAAGATAACTTGAAATTGAAAGGTCTGAACTTACCTAACAACTCTGGTTCTCATAGTGGTATTAGCAGGCCACTTGTTTTGTACAGACTTCTGTAGGCATCCATAAATATACCTCAATGTCCTGTAGAAATAGTACCTAATTAGTCATTCCCTTGAACATATGGAATCAAAAAAGCTGGTCAGAAAGTACCCAGACCAACCTTCTATTTGATGCATGACTGTAATCAACTCTACATTAATAACTCAGACATAAGCTTTAAATTAACAAAGAGTTATTTATGAGTTAACAAACTTATAAAAATTCTACTTATAAAGTTTATATTAAAGAGTAAATTTATAAAGGAAAAGGAAAAGCCATTCTATATGCAATTCAGCGATCATTCAGCTGTGCTTTAAATGTCTTCTAACTGACTGTTTACTGTTTCTTCAGTAGTATTTCCTTTTTAAGAAATGACAATTTTTATAGTTTTTTTTAAATTACATTTTTCTCTTAACTAAATAACTATTTTTCCATAAATAAGGGTTAGGTGTTCAGAAGTTAAGCAACCACAGCAATAATCCTCTCCCATTAAAAAAACAAATGGAAATTTTGTGGTGTATTTCAGAAAACACTGAGAGCTGCATCATATACTTAAAAGAAGTGCAACTTTTAATGCTAACTTTTTCAGCACTAACTAAAAAGAAACTTCATGTGAGTCTGACATTTCAAAATTGAGAATTTCATATATTTTAAAAGCTACGGGCACACTGAAAGAAAACTCCTTGTACTATCCACTTTCTTTTATTCAGATGATTCAAAACTGAGCTATGAATAGAAGTTGCTTTATCAATTGAAAAAAAGTGGGTTAGAAATAACCTCTGCATTTCCCAGACAAAAGCAATCATAGCATATAGTATCACTCTCCTACCACCTGCTTCTATTTTTAATATGCTGTTAATAATTCCATCTCTTTCTTTCTTGGATGAGGAGGACTGGAAATAATTTGCCATTGACTTAAATATATGCAATTGTCTGCTACTACTACTGTCTTCCACCTTTTTGTGAAAATATGAGATTGATTATTTATTACTATTTTTTTCCCCTGACTTCTTTGGTCTAGTAGCCTCTCCTTCAAAGAAAAGCAAGTCTGCTAGGCAGAGGCTTTTGTAAAAAGCACTGTTAATTCCTGAAAGTGTTATTTATCTCATCTATATTCCTCTGTATCCATATAGCAACCCTAAGATAAATCAGTAAGAACATCATTTTAAGGTGCAGTATAATTCAGGGAAACAGAAATTATGGAATATAAATCTGAACAGTAAGTACAAACTTACGGGGGCAGTATCTCTGCAGCCATGAATATTTTCTCCACCAATTCTGAAAGTATACTGAGTAGATGTGCCAAATTTGTGTTTACATCTTCGTTTTTTTCTAACTTTGAGGGATTTAACTAAAACAGAAAGAAAAAAGGATTATGCTGGTTTTCCTAGCTAGGACTACATACTTAGTTTTATAGTGTTAGGCACTGAATCCTACTTCAAAGTAAATTAAATATTCGCTGCTGTACAAGTCTCTTACAGAACTCACAAGCCTGTTCCAACAGCTGTCAGGAAAGGTGAAAAAGCAACAGTTTTAAGCTCTAATACATATATTTGATTTTTAACAGCTCAGATATTCGCCACTATCCATCTATGTGACATTTTTGTCTCTCTCAGTCCAAACATCTGATGACTCCCATCCTTTCCACAAGGAAATTAAAATGAAACACAGAGGTTAGGAGGGTCATTTTAAAAACAGTTTCAGGATCAATAATAATCATTTAATATCAAGAATTTTTTAATCAAAACTGCAGTTCAGACACTGACTTCTACAATATCTTGAGTTTAATAAAAGTTACTTGCTGATTTGGGCTGAAGTAGAGTTAACTTCCTTCACAGTGACTAGTATGGGGCTATGTTGAGGATTTGTGCAGAACACAGAGTTGATAATGCAGAGATGGTTTTGTTATTGCTGAGCCAAGGCCTTTGTTGTTTTCTGTACTGCCACACTGGCAGTGAAGTTGTGGTTGCATGGGAGATAGGGAGGAGACACAGCTGGGACAGGTGACCCAAACTGACCAAAGGGATATTCCATAGCATATGACATCATGCTCAGTATATAAGATAGGAGGAAGTAGGAGAAAGGGGGAATGTGGAGTAATGGTGTTTGTCTTCCCAAGGAACCGTTACGTGTGATGGGCCCTGCTCTCGGAGATGACGGAACACCTCCTGCCTGTGGGAAGCGGTGAATTAATTCCTTGTTTTGCTTTGCTTGTGTGTGCAGCTTTTGCTTTCTCTATGAAACTGTCTTTATCTCAACCCATGAGCTTTTCTAGCTTTTACCCTTCCGATTCTCTCCCCCATCCTGTTGGTGGGGGAGTGTGTGAGCAGCTGTGTGGTTCTTGATTGATAGCTGGGGTTAAACCACAACAGTTACTTAGATTAGGACATTCAGTAACTGCTACAGAACACCTACAACTGCTAAATAATTGAGAAAATTTTTAATTAAAAACTTGTAAAGTTCTACTATGAATATTGTTTGAAGCCAAAATCCAGGGAAAAAAATTTTTAAATCTCTTCACAAATTCAGTTCCTGTATTTCTGATGTACGCAAACATTAGTTCTGAGAGATTAATGTCTCTGAAACTAATATTTAATGCAAGCATAACACTTAACAACCAGTAGTTAATTGTGTCAACAACCCAAAATGTTTTAAAACACAGCTCAAGGTATCACCTCACAGGACTGCTTGCTCTCCATTATCTTTAATATGGAGTCTTTCAGTGCGTGATGAACAAAACTCGTTGCTGTGGCTTTCATATACTGCTCCATGAGTGTGCTTGCTAAAGTGGTGGCACGGAACAAGGTGGTAGCTTCATCTGAAAAAAAAGACAGGAAAGAGAAAAGCTGAGAAAAAGAGACAACAAAAGGAGAGGAAAAATCTATTTACTCTTTGACCTAAGTTGTAACTAACGGAGGAGAAAAAATGGAAAGCACTGCAGCCCTTCCCTCCCCACCTCCCCAGAATTCCAGTAAACTTTAGTGTGGTTTAGTGCAGTACCTTCCATGCTTATCTCCCTGTCATTTAGTGTTCGTAACAACAAGGATTCAAGCTTTTCGTGAAGAAAAATCTTCAGTAAGATGCCAGCCAAGAGTGTTCTATCCTGTCCACACACATGTGATAAGGCATAGACTACATGAAGTTCTTTCTGGAGAATAAGCTGAAAGAAAAACAATTTTAAGATAGTCAGAAGCTTCTCCTAACATGTAACAGTTTTGAAAAAAAAATTGTCATATGTGTCACTATAAATCTTCTTTAGTTATGTCAACTGGTGTTACTGAGGTCTGTCTCAACCAATCAACAAAATGAGTTTTGGCAGATAAACCAAGGAAAGTTGAACAACTTAATACCTCTTTAAACTCATTGTACTCCTCTTCTGGCATGATCTTCTCCATGGAATATCTTGCTCGAACACGCAAAGATCCTGGCTCAATACCCTTTAATGGCACATGGGAACTGAGTTGAAACCACTCATCTGTTGCATGTCCTTTTTGTAATCGGCTTAATTGGCAACGCATAAACACTTAAGGAGAAAAAGCAATGTTCAAGTATGTTATCTCCAGCAAATGTTTCATATAGTTTTTATTCAATAAAAAAAATGTTTTATTTTCAGCACGTCATCTTATTTCAGCAACAGAGTATTAGTAAAAGTAAATGAGAATTTTGCCATCAATATATTAACAAATTCTCTCTTCAATGGCTTTGCAAAGTCCTGTGAACTGAAGAGGAAATATAAGGCATTCTGTCAAGAATGTATAAATATAAATTAGCACATGGATATTGGTTTTCCTTGTTTTTTACCTCCAAAATAACCAGGTAAAAAGGTCCTGCCCTGCAAATCCAGGTAGCAGTCAGAAACTGAAAATAGGTGAAGTCTTTAGAATTCACTCTTCTCTTTCCAACCCTGGGCTGACACCACCATCAAGTCTGCTCCTCAACCACTTTGTTACTTCTTACTATTTATTATTACAGTGTTGCTATGGCTTTCCCAAACACTGACATACGTATTTCTTTTATACTACCTCCCAGGCTAAGTAACAATTTCAGCACATTAGGTTTAGAAGTGTTCCAAATCACTTGCTATCTAGATAATGAAAGTCAACTCGAGAATAGCCGAATCACTAATTTGCCTTACAGTGGTGCTGGTACCTCCAAATCATCAAGCAATGACCTGGACTGCAGCTGTGGTCTGGCCCAGCAGCTGGCTAGGAAGCTACAGCAGCTGGGAGCACAGGCCCACCCGGAACAGGTACAGGTGCTCCTGAATGAAGGGTTTGTCACAAAGGGCTCCAGCATTTTCAGAGTCAACACTGTGCCTGTGAAACACCCACCATGCTCCAACAGGAGTCCACAGTTAAAGTTTCACATCTGGCCTGTCAGTCTGGATCTCACAAGCAAACACCCTCTCTTTTCAAGATGCTCAGTGAGATCTGCTTTTACATTCCTCACATGAAAACAAATAAACAAAAAAATCCAAAAAAAAATAAGAGAGGGATTTTTTTGACATTTCTGCAAAGCCATATACCAAACTGCCTTACAGAAATGGTCAACAGCTGCACTAGACTTTCCATTGCCCCAGTGCTGCAATACATAGCAGGATATAATTTTCTACCAGAACAGAATAAAGATCACATTTACAAAGCTCCATTCAGGCCACTCCTGCTGCCTATTTCGTATTCTTTGAAGCTGATAAACTGATAAAAGTTGATGCACTCAAATCAATCAAGTAGCATGAAAAACAATCCATCACCACCTGCTACGTATCACCAGTGTGGATGGGACTACATCTCTAGACCAGGTAATTAATTGACTTTCCTAGAATACTTCTCCCTGGCATCAAAGCTCAGTACTGACAACTATATTTATATGTTTTATGTAGTTTGTTGTCCAAAATATACAAAGACAGCAGTATGATAAGCATAAACACATACTTAATTCTCTTGTGACAATGCTTGACAAAAGTAATGAAAACTACACAAAGAATCCATTGCTGTAATATATAAGCACCTTTTACAGAAAAATACTTACATATATCTGGATCTTTACTTTTCTTTGTTTTGTTACTAAGACTTATCTCAAATCTATTAATATCAGATGAAAGGTCACTAGGAGAAAAGACAGAGAGCCTCAATTAACACTACACTTGGCTGGCATTTAAGCTTTTCCTAATTTCATTTTAATCCTGAGTTGTCATTGTCAGCCAAAAACACATTAATGAAGACAGTTAAGTGGCTACAAAAAATTCTGCTCATGCACAATTTGGTTGAAATTTTGCTGCTCTGTAAACACATGTACAGTGTTTTTTAAAATACAGTAAAACAATACAGAGAGTTAAGAACCTTAAATGCAATGCAAATTACAAGTGAAAATCAGTAATCCAAGAAGATTAAGACTTACTCAAAGACAAATTCTTCTGACCACACAGGGTTCTGCCCTTCCCTGACGTGTGTTTTTGCTACCTGGACACTGTTCAGGTAGATGTTACAATAAGGATTCGTAAAATGCTTTACTGGAAGAGTGTGAGCTTCTTCTACATGCAAAATAAGACTGCTGACCTGAAAAAAAATGCCCCAGAATTTACTTGTTGTTGCTAAAATACAAATACAAAGCACATGAATTAATTACTTCATATCCTCTGTGCAGCAGCTTAATGTTAATATGTGAATACAAATGAAAAATTCCTAATTAGAAGAGCTAAGAACAGAAGTAAAGGAATAACAATATAAGAGGCACAAGGCACAAAGTAAGAGTAACTCAAATAATTACTGAAAACAAATATCCAGACCTGTGTTTTTAAGGCATCTTATTTTCCTCTTTTAAAATTACCTTTGAGGAATTAGGATTTGCAAATAACAACTTTACTATGCACAGAAAATTTCACTGAAATAAAAAACTGGCACTGTGAGTAAAAGCCATGGAGAACTCCAAACAGTGTTTTATTAATTTAGTGCTTTCCCAATAGATTATGTAAAATTTCCCTGTGCATACATTACATTGTGTTCCTTTATGCAGATGAACATTGTCTTTGCTTTTTTGAAGAATTCTCCTTTTTTGCTTTGCTTTTGCTGCCTTAAATCCCTAATTTCACCTGCCACTTT